CTGCTTGTCCTGGACTTGTTTAACTAAAGAAAGTGTGTTAAGAAGCAGCGTTTATACTGTGCTCTCTGCTCTCCCCATCTGCTGCCCACCTCTCATTTTCTGCAGTGCGGTACAGCTGATGGCAGGCATTCCGGGGGGGGGGGCCCTGAGCCTGGCGGGAAGGAGGGCATGGATTCGCGGCCCCAGACTGCCCTGCCCAGCGGCTGTCTGTAGCTGGCAGAATGCTGGCCTCCCACGATGTCCATGTCCTATTGGACTGGAACTGGTGAATATGTTACCTTACATGGCCAAAGGGGCTTTGCAGATGTGACTAAAGGATCTTGTAATGGAGAGATTATTCCGAATTATTCAGGTGGACCCAGTGTAAGCAGAGGATCTTTGTAAGATACAGCTTTAGAGTATGCTTTGAAGTGTGGGAACAGTGGGTACCCTGCTTATCAGTTCATTGCTTACATGTTTTCCCAACTCCCCCACATTCTGAAAATACTCTTCAGGTTACACTGTACTCCTCCCCACTTGTTCCTTGAAAGTCAAGCGCGCTTGCGCCGTATGGATGTATTCTGAGCCCTTGAACAAATGCGTGAAAGATATCCCCAGAGCGCGATGAAAAAGACCATCGCTTGTTTCACTGGCGCGCATGCTCGTGGCCACGCACCTTGGCCATACACGTCAGTGCTTACTGTCAGCTTTCACTCTTTACCATAGAGCAGAAAGCAGGAGGCTGCTTTCATAGGTGACCTGAGGTGCCTGGCAAATGAATGACGGTTTGCTGCACATAATGGAAGATTCCAATGTGATAGAAAGTGCTGCTGACAAAGAGATCAAGGACCCGGAGAAATACACAAATGAAGGAAACCAGTGTATGAGAGTGTATGTAGTATGACGTCAGCTGGGGACATATGCAGGAAACAGAAGAGAGGAAATAAGCGAAAGTTGGAGTCCGGGGCTTCTGGACTATAGGAGACTTGACCTCCTTGCCTCGGCACTTCTCTGTCTGGATCCTTTACATTAAATTTAAGATTTGGAGAAGGGAGCTTCACATCCGGGACCCTGTAGATTTATTTCTGGGAAGCTTTTGAAAGAAGTAATGATAAATATAGATTATGGGCTTTATACACAGATGTTCCTTTACTCGTAGTTTTACAAATTGATAGAATTTGCATATACCATAAAATTCACCATTTAAAGCATACAGTTTATTTGTTTTTGGTATATTCACAAAGCTGTGCCACCGTCACCACTATTGAGTTGCAGAACTTTCTAAAAAAGTATATTTTATTGATTTTTTACAGAGAGGAAGGGAGAGAGATAGAGAGTTAGAAACATCGATGAGAGAGAAACATCGATCAGCTGCCTCCTGCACACCCCCTACTACGGATGTGCCCACAACCCAGGTACGTGCCCTTGACCGGAATCGAACCTGGGACCCTTTAGTCCACAGGCCGATGCTCTATCCACTGAGCCAAACCAGTCAGGGCTGCAGTACTTTTTTATCACCCCCAAAGAAAGCCCATTCCCACCAGTACTCACTCCCATCCTGTGCCCAGCCCCTGGCAACTACTGGTTTCCTCTCTGACTCTGGATTTGCATATTTCAGACATTTCTCATAGATGGAACCACACAGCACGTGGCTTCTTTAACTCAGCACGGCGACTTCAAGGTCCGTCCGCACTTGATTGTGTCAGCACTTCATTCTTTCCATGGCTAAATAATATTCCATTGTGTAGTCAGGCCACGGTTTATGTATCCATTCATCCGCGGATGGCCTGAGTTGCTTTCACCTTGTGGCTGCGGTGAGTAATGCTGGTACGGACATGCCTTTGTGCGGACGTGTTTCTGTTTCCCTTGGGTATACACTAGGCGTGGAGTCGCAGGGCCATATGGAAACTCTTTGTTTAACTGTTTAAGAAATCACCGAACTGACTTGCACAGCAGCTCTCATGAATATGTATACTAGTGCGAATGAGAAAGGAACGCCGCTGTCGGTAGGACAGTGCTTAGTGAAATTGCACTATCCCCGTAGCGGGCTGTTTGCGAAAACAGAAGTTACTTCTATCCTAGACTTGACTCCTGGGCTTACCTGGGGCTGCTGGGTCCACTTCCAAGGTGGTTCACTCCTCTGGCTGTGGGCGCTGGCTGTCGGCAGGAGGCCTCGCCTCTTCCCCATGTGCGCCCTCCGATGAGCTGCTTGGACGCCCTCACCGCCTGGTGCTGGTTCCCCCAGAGCCAGTGCTCCCAGAGCACCGAGGAGCAAGGTGTGTTTTATGACTTTACCCCGGAGGCCACACACTGTCCTTTCCGCAGTATCCTGTTGGTTGCACAAGTCAGCTCTGGTCAGTGAGGGAGGGGACCACAAGGACATGGACACCAGGAGGCACGACCCATGGGGAGCCCTCTTAGTGGCTGGCTGCCATAGGTGCTGCTGCGGGTGCGTGTACTGCACAGTGTGGTGGCTGCATCCCCGGAGCAGGCTTTGTGTTCCTCCCTGCTGTCGGCTGCCCCCTGTGCTGCGTGGGCCCCTCGCCTTCTAGCTCCCCACTTCTGTCCAGAGAGCCAGGCACCCCCAGCACTGTCCACGCTGCCGTCAGGAGAGGGTAAACGGGCCCACATGTGGGCCCTGAGGACTAGGAGACCAGCAGCAGGGACTTGGTCGTTTCTGTGGGTGCGGAGGCCGGTGGCTCGCTCTGAGGGACCGATTCTGTGGGTGCCCATGTCAGCTCCGCGCTTGGCTTAGATGGGAAGTGGAATCAGAGATGTGGGTTGGATAGCAAGCCAGGATAAAATTCACCAAAATGGTGGAGGGATCAGTTTGTTTGTTTTTGGAGCAAGGATAGAAGTGTTGTTATAATTACCCGCGTTGGTTATTGGACAGGAAATGGGGAAATATGAACTTATAATAGCTTTATAACAATTCTGAGCTGTAAAGCGAGTGACCTGGGCTCAGCGGTGCTGTGAGGTCAGGCCTCCCACCTGCTTGTTGATGGAGGAGCTCCTGTATGTAAACGTGAGATTCTGAGCGAGATCCTATATGTAAACGTGCTTAGAATGCGCCTGCACTTGGGCATCTTTCTCTAGGCTTATACGTGAATCTAGCATAGCAGAGAGGTGCTCAGAGCTCAATGTATCTCAAAGTAGCCTCGTTTTGGGTGCAGTTTGGTCCCATTCAGGACTTGAATCACACACAGACCCCTGCTGTTACCTGCTTGACTGGGAACCAGGCCACTGACACCATTGCCGACCCGACCCGTGAAGGAGTCGTGCTGTAGACATCGTGTTGTGGGATGGGGCCCGCACGCAACACACTCTTGCAATGGAGTCTTGAGTGGATCGAATTTGGGAGGATGTCGTGGCACATTGTAATTTCTGTATATTTCTGTCTTGATATTGACCCTATTTTCTTAAAGCCACATGTTTAAAACGAAGACATTCCGATCAGGGCCATTCCGATGGTGTTCAGCAATTTCTGAGAGTGACTGGGAGAGACGAAGCCTCATCGTCCAACCAGTTTGGGGGAATAACATGGTCAAAGCTTACGGCTCTTGAGGGCTTTGGCCGCCACTCTCGGGCCAGGGACCTGAGCGGAGCACGTGGGAGGATCTGAGTGGAATTGAGGTTATCGGCTCCCCATGCGTGCCAGCCTGTGTGCACTTATACCGACTGCCGCGTAGCTGCCCCGACTCAGACAATTATAGGTGTGGCCCGTTTTCTACAAGAGCCGTCTTGTCAATCAGTGTGATCGCGGGGTGTGGGACGGGGGGCAGTTCTCCTTATAGCGAAGCCCATCTGGAAAGCCTGCCTTCATCTATCTGTGTCAAACGTGGTTTTTAATCAGCGTCACTTCAAGGAGAGAGGCCTGCACACAATGTGCTCTTGTTGTTTTCCTCAGGAAACGCAAAGGACCCTTCGCAACCTTGACTCCTACTGTATGGGGCGCCCAGGCAGTATTCAGTAGGCATCTCCTCCGATTGTTACGCTGCCCGTTTAGATTATTGCATTTGGTCAGTAGTTAATATTTAACTCCTTAGCTTAGGGCCACTGGTCATAGAAAGAGTCCATTTGGGGTAGATGGAAGCTGAAATGGATGGACAGCTGGGGCCGGGGGGGTGGGAGAGCAGTTCACAGGGAAGGAGAACAAAGCAGAGCTGCCCTCCTGCTGTGGACGAGCCGAGCCGCATTCCGCTGTCATCACCTCATTAAACACGCTGCCTGGGAGAAGATGTCTTACCTGTTCTGTAACTTTCAATATCTGTTTCCCTGGTACTTAAAGTTGCACTTTGAGATAATAATGCTTTTAACCATGAGTGTACTGATGTTGTGACTGATTATTGCTTAGGCGAAGCCGGTGATTTAATTTTCCAACCCAAAGTTGGGGCAAAAACCAGTCAATTAGATAATATATAATTACGCATTAAAACCTGATTCTGGAGTTGATTGGGCAAACTCACACGGAATTGACCTGCTTCTGAAATGTGCTTTTCTCCTTTTTGTCTTGCAGGATAACAAAGCCCTTGACCTTTGCCGATTGTGTTGGGGATGAGCTTCCTTTAGGATGGGAAACGGTATATGATAAGCAAATTGGAATTTATTACATGGACCACATAAACAGTAAGTAGAGCACCACGTTTGAGGCATTATGTGTGAAGGAGTTTCCATGGTGACCTCAAGGATGCTAAACCCTTTTTGTAGAGCAAAACGATCTTTACTGTCCAGTGCAACATTCAACTGGGTTTGATCCATGGAATCTGAAGTTTTCTTAAAAAAGTGAAGCAGTTACGTAGCTACCATGCCTGTATGCTGCTCGGGACTGCGTGCGTACGTCCAATGGAGGGTTTTAATATCTACTCTAAGGCACACATTTCCCAGGCAGTTTGGAACTAGACTATTTCTCACAATGAGAAGGTTGGTTATTGTAAAGTGGAACTTACAGCTTACATGTTATTAGTACAATTAACTGCCCACCTGGTTACCTTAACTTCATTTTGGCTTGTATGTTTAATTTGAATACACCAACCCTTTTTGGTCTCTGCATAAAGACTATGGCTAAAATGGTGGGCCTTGACCACACCAGCCTTCTTTATAAGACTGTTCAGAGCAGTGGTTCTCACCGGGGCCGATGTTGCCGCCCAGGGACACCTGGTCATTACCTGGTAATACTGGATTGTCACGCATAACACAGGCGGGCAGAGGCCGGCGCACTGCCAAACCTCCTACGGTGCACAGAACGGCCCCACAAGAGAATGAGCCGACCCCAAATGGCAGGAGTGCCAAGGGCAACACACCCTGCTTCACGGGCCCATTTCATTCTAGACCTTTTCCACCCCTTCTGCCTCTTCATCAGCCTTCCTCGATGGGGAATCATCTGGGGACCCAGTGCTCTCTTAGGTCCACACTTTCTCATTCTAGTGTTTCTGTCATTGTCATTTTTATTGCCGAGGGACACAGCTTCCCCTTCCTGTTTCTCTGTCCTCTGGTTTGTTAGCTGCGGGGCAGTCTGGGAGCGCCCGAGGGTGCACCAGGCCACCACAGGAGACTCGGGCTCTTTCCTCACTCTGGTCCCCTGGCTCCGCATGTCCCTTAGTGTGATTGGCCCACGGTGGCGCCATTAGGATTGATTCCTTGCCCACTCACTTCCTGAATGGCAAACCCGATTGGCAGCCATGTAGTTCAAAGAGTGGTCCCCGACCCAGATATTTCATCTGAATGTCAACTGTACCTGAAAAATAAGAAATAAAACACAGAAGCAGTTTGGATACACATCATTCGCGGAGGGTAGCATTGTTTTCAGGCCACTCCGGGTTAGATGGTTAAACAAGAAAGCAACAAACTCACTTAGCACCTCAAACGCTTCAAAGTACTCACATGCGTGCTGTTTACTCAGCGTGTGCATAGAAACGGCCTAACCTGAGAATTCCTAACTCACCTGAAGCCCTTCAATTACAATGGAAGAAAATGAGTTTTAGAAATTGCATTAATCTGAAATGCGCCTTTTCAATACGCAACAGTTTTTTTAATCGTTATTTTCTGTTTCCCTTTTATGATTGTTCTAATTCTATTTATTGAAATTTAATTTTATGTTCATCGAATCAGATAATAAAAAATTTGAGCTAAAAGAAAAAATCTGACCGGCCAGGCTTCCCGTGTCAGTTCTGGGGCAGTGGAGTTTCTGAGATGTGGCGCTCGGCCTTGCTCTGGTGTGGCTCTTACCCAAAGATTGGGCACCCAGGAGAGGCCCGGCCCGGCCTCCCAGGCAGGTATCTGGGTGGCAAGAGGGCTTCTAGGTGGATCCATCACCTTGACTGACCTGGTACCTCGAGTCTGTGTGTGTTTGGGGTGTCTGAGCTTGCTTTTCCAGGTGCTGTTGGGAGCTCCCACAGGTGAGGGCCGCTCCCACAGGGGAGGCAGTTCCCACAGGGGAGAGCCACTCCCACAGGGGAGGGCAGTTCCCACAGGTGAGGGCAGTTCCCACAGGGGAGAGCCCCTCCCACAGGGGAGGGCAGTTCCCACAGGGGGAGGCCACTCCCAGAGGCGAGGGCCGCCCGGCCAGGCCTCTGGCCTCTGGGCCTGCGCACACCAGGCCTCACCCGCAGGCCCTGGCCTCCTGGGGCCAGGCGGTATGACTGAACAGCATAGGCATTTGCCTTACACAATCTTTCTGGAAAGCCTGCCTGCCTGCCGCTGAGGCCGGGACCTGTTCTGGCTCGTCTCTTGTAAACTCAGCCTGCTCATTCCTCCGCGCGGCTCGTCTGCTTGTCTGCGTGCTGAGTCACAGCAGGTGCTAGAGAGCGCGTCTCTGTGCGGCCACTCTTCAGGCCCTGGGGACGGGAAAAGTGAGACCCGGTCTCCACCCTCAAGGACTCCACAGGACACTCTAGATGTTAGGACTTTCTTAATGCCTCCTCGAGCACAACTGGGAGGAGCCAGCGCCTGGGGCACCCACCTCTTCCCTCTGGGGCCTTCAGAGAACCCACCTTTCCCCCAGGAACAAGAAAGGTTATTGTTGTAATAATTTGTCCATAAGGGGCCAAAGACTCCATTCAGAAAACTTGCTTCTGAAAACCCAACTCTTTTTTTTAAAATGTATTTATTTTTATTGATTTCAGAGAGGAAGGGAGAAGGAGAGGTAGAAACATCAGCGATGAGAGAGAAACATCAATCAGCTGCAGGGAGAGAAAGCAGAGTGGGAAATGGGGAGTTGATGGGCGGGAGGAGACAGCAAGTCCATGGGGAATGCAGGGCTGCACGGCCTGGTGCGGGAGGGGGAGGGGAGCAGGCCAGGTCAGAGGGCAGCAGAGCCGAGGCGCCCTAGTCAAGAGGTTGGTGAGCGGAGGGCTGGAAATCTGTGAGCTTGACCGCCATGAGCTCTTTTGGTTCATCTCTGCCAACATTTCTTTACAGTGTGAAAAATTGTCTGGTATTGTCTTCCCCTGTCCAGTGAATAATTTCATATCTGTATAGTTTTCTCATTTTAATTGTGCATATAAAAATAGAAGGTGTTCGCCCACCCGGCGTGGCTTATTGATTGAGCATCGACTCATGAACTAAGAAGTCAGGGTTCGATTCCCGGTCAGAGCACATGCCCGGGTTGCAGGCTTGGTCCCCAATAGGGGGCATGCAGGAGGCAGCCGATCCATGATTCTCTCTCATTGGTGTTTCTATCTCTCCTTCTCCCTTCCTCTCTGAAATCAATTAAAAATATATATTAAAAAAATAAAAATAGAAGATGTTCCACACTTTAGGAAGGTTTGTTATGTAGATTTCATAGCATGCGTTCTGGTCATTCATTTTCTTTCTTTTTTAAAATATATTTTTATTGATTTCAGAGAGAGGAAGGGAGAGGGAGAGATTGAAACATCAATGATGAGAGAGAGTTATTAATCAGCTGCCTCCTGCACGCCCCCTACTGGGGATCAAGCCCGCAACCGGGGCATGTGCCCTTGACTGGAATCGAATTCAGGACCCTTCAGTCTGTAGGCCGATGCTCTATTCATTGAGCCAAACACGATAGGGCCTGGTCATTCATTTTCATACTCACTAGTGCCATAGCCGCCTGACTCTTGGTCAACCTAAAGATCTGACTTTGAAGTCCCTTACATTCTTTGAGTGTGTGTGTGTCTGTTTTATTTCACTCACGTCTTATGCTTTTAATTTCAGAGCTCACCCAGATCGAGGACCCCAGAGAGCAGTGGAGGCGAGAGCAGGAACGGATGTTGAAAGAATACTTAGTGGTAGCCCAGGAGGCTCTCAATGCCAAGAAAGAAATCTACCAGATTAAGCAGCAGCGGTTCGAGCTGGCACAGGAGGAGTTCCAGCATCTGCACAAAATGTGTGAGGACGACAGCCGCTCGTACGCCAGCTGTGAGTTCACTGACGCGTCCGCTTAACACATGTGACTTTAAAAGCCATTTCTCTGCTGGGTTATCTGCAGACACCAAACTTTACTCGGGCAAGACAGCTTCATGAATTTCCTATCCGTGTCTGTTAGGGCATCGGTGTGCTGCCCTGGGATCAGGTGGGCATCCGCTAGCCTCTCCTTGTAGCAAACACCAAGTGCCTCCCTTGTGCCCAGGCACTGCATACAGTGGCGCCTAACAGAGGAAAGGTCCCTGCCCTCGTGGCGCTTACATTCAGGCGGGGAAGAGGGGAATAAGCCAATTTCAGGGAGTGACACGAAGCAACCTTGTGTTTGTCGGCGTGGGAAAGGCCTTCGTGGAGACCTGGGCAGTTAGCGCTGTGTCACTGAGCCTCGGTAAAGCCACAGCTGGTTCTGTGGATGCCGGATGGAAAGATCAGGCACCTTCCCACACGCCGAGTACCTGTCTCTGTGTAGGGTCCTTTCTTGGGCCGCCCCCGAAGGTGGAGGAACACCGTATAACCCGGGGAATCGGGGAACTCTCTCTGCCCCTCAAGCTAGATGGACACACACTGATGTCCTCGGAGGGAAACCCTCTCCGTTTGGGAGGCTGCGGAGGAGGCCCCGTATCACAGGTGCTCAGTAGATCCTCGGGGACTGGAGGAAGCAGGTCCCGCCTCAGAAGGCATGGCATTGTGGTGCCGACCCGGTCAGACGCTTCCCGGCAGAGCTGCCTCATTTCGCAGCCACTGCAGGCGCGCACGGCCCTGACTGTCCTGGGTGCCAGTGAGCTTGGGGAGAATGTTAGAGTCGGTCCCAGCAGCTTTTACTTCCTGAA